CCTATACCCATGTGGAAAGTCATCATCTGTTTTATTAACAGCAGTTACATCCATTAACTTCACTAATATTCAATTCCCCTACTTGGGATGCAACACAGGCCCAACTCAGCAGCGCACTGGGGCTGTCTCACAGAAAGGAGAGGAGCCTGTGATGTTAAATGAGAACATAACCTTTTATTTCATTTTTGTCCCAAATACCTACTTAATAATGGAGTCCTTGATCTCAGAAGCGCTGCTTGAACCAATCCTCTAATTGCAGGTTATTTTCATCCCGGTGACATCTCTCCCGGGGATGAAAACACTACGCAGCCATGAGACCTTATCAAGCTGACTGAGGTGCTGCTGATTCTGGGCCAAAGACAGGCAAGGGCAAGGCGAACTGTGCTTGTTCCTTCAGGGAAGAGCATCCTGAAGGTGACCTGGGGGTGGTTCAAGCTGCTCAGCGGGCTAAGCAGCTGGAACTGCCCCAGCACCCGCGGGATGGTCCCGCATGGGCAGGATGCAGGTCTATCCATGGAGCATCCCTTGTCCTGCAAAAGAAACGCTGGGTGCTGACGGCGACCTCTAAGCGGGGAAACCTGCGGGGGGCTGAGGACGTGTGGGGAAGGGACAAAGAGACAGCCTAGCACTGGGATTTTTGGGGAAAATCCCCGAGGAAAGTGGTGCGCGGCGCTGGCCCCCTCGGGCCACCCCGCTGCCCGGCGCTGCTCTCCGCGCCCGCCCGCGCAGCTTCCTGCCCGCGCCCCGCGCCGCTAACCACGGGCTTTACCGCGCCGCCGGCCGGCGTCACGCGCGTGGCGCCGCACCCTCCCATTGGCCGCGGGCCCTGCGCGCGCACGGGGCGCGCCGTGCGGGCGGCGCCGAGGCGCGGGCGCGGCGGGATGGCGGGGCCCAACGGGGACCCGCACGTGGCGGGCGGCGGCCCCGACGATGAGGACGGGGACGGCGGGGACACCTTCGGGGAGGAAGGTGCGTGCGCGGGGCCGAGCGGGGCCGCCGCCACGCTGGGGAGACCCAGCGGGGCCACGGTCTGGCCTGGCCCGGCCCCGTGGGTTGCGGGTGGCAGAGCGCGGGTGCGCTCAGATGTCCTGCTGGGAGCGGTGCCCCGCGCCTTGGGTGTGCCCCGTGCCCGGGGTGTGCCCCCTGCACAGCACTGAGGGGCTGCAGGGTTGGATTCGTGCCCAGCCGGGGAGCCCCGAGCTCTGCCGTGCTGCCCCTGAGGTGGTTGGGTTTTTTTTTCTTGTGCAGAGGTGATTCTGTGGCTGCGCGGATGTTCAAGGAGAAAGAGGATGTCAAGGTTGTGAGACCACTGGGCAGGTCGCGTGGGCAGATGAGGGAGAAGTAGGCATGCGTGGAAAAAGGGAATTTAATGCAGATAGCTTGGTAAATTCCACTTTGGAGTGTTTCTACAGTGCCTGGGTCTGAAATTTCTGATGCTGTCCTGTCCAGTTAGAACCAGCTGATGGAGGAAGTAAGAGCAGAGCGGAACTGTAATGCAGACATAAAGGTCACTTAAAACTGGAACTCTGTCACAGTAAGCACTTTGCTACGCTTCTGTTGAAGGAGGTGAAGAGTTGGGTTCTGCTGTTTCCCAAAATATCGTTCAGTTTCCAGATGTGGAAACTGGCTCACACAGGTGGATTTCAGAGCTCTCTGGGATATACCTGCAGTGACAGAAGGATCACTTCTGCCCTGAAACACCCCAAGAGTCGTCACTGCTTTGCATCATCACAATGATTTACGTTTCACACTTTCTGAAGAGCTCAGAGACACATTGGCTGTGATAAAGTCACTAAATTAGATTTACATCAAGTCTAATTAGGTTGTTCAGCTTGTGATCAGCTGATTTCTGTGCAGTAGCTGGTCAGAGAGGGCTGCAGTTGTAGAACACTTCCTTGAGCTCAAATAGAAACCTTATTTTTGTCAGCTGTCCTTGTAAGAACACAGAGGGGTTAATGCAATTGCCACACCCCTGGTCAATGTTTTCATTAGGGAATGTGGTTGTTTCCACAAAAATCCACCAAGCTTGCAACTAATGGAAGGCAATATTTTTACAGCTTATTTTTAAATGGTTACATTTTTTTCATTTCCCAAAGCTGCACAAATTATATGGCCTTTGCTTGGGCTTTAGGCACTGAGAAAATTGGGCTCCTGCTGTGATGGCAGACTTCTTGCCAAGCTGAGGAATATCCCTTGTCTCAAGTAGCTACTGTGTCTGCTTGGGATGTGCTCACCATTTCACTGGAACGTGGTGCATCACACTGAAGGAGAGCTCTGACTCATGGACATTCTCACACACCTTGAAGCAGGGTTTGGAAAATACTGCTAACTGGCACCTTTTTAGAAAGCCTGTGTTTGTGGGATTGGTTTGGAAATGTGAGGCCAAACTTTTATAAACAAGCTCAACTGCAACACACACAGTTATCCAAAGAATTAAACCTGTAACGCTCTGTGAACAGCTTCAAGGTGGTGTAAGAAAAGGAGGACAATTTTTTTTTTATAATTACACTTTTCCTTAGCTATTAATATTGCAAATGACTGCAATGTTTAAATATTCACAGTTCTTTTAGAGCTGCTGGGAATGGCAAGGCCTGGGCCCGGTGTGCTGGTGCACCAGGGAACTTTTAATCAGTAGGTAAAAATAGAAGTAATAATCATCCTCTATAACTTCAGCTGAATTGAGTACCCAATAGAATGCACAAAAAAAAAAAAAAAATTACTCCATCAAAACTGCTTTTGAAAATGCCCATCAATACCTGATGCAATAAATACAAATATAAAAGGTACCAGCCTAACATGACACATGAAAAATGAAGGGCAGAAATCAACAGATTAATTTCTGTTGGGTTGTACTGTTCCAAGTGCCTGCTGGTTTATTATTTATAATCAGCTAATGAGAGTTGGCAGCTGATTTCCAGCACTGATCCAGAATTTTTCTGAAACACAAGCACTCATTTCAAAGAAACATTCCGTGCCCAGGGGTCACAGCTCCACAACCGCCTCCCTACTCACCCAGCCCCTGTGGCTTCAGGAAGGAAGTTGGGATGGCTCCAGGTGGGGTCCCTGGAACCCCCTGGGGTTCCTGAGTAACCCCAGCAGAGGTTTTGTCTTGTCTGTTTTTTTCAGTTTGTTTGTTATTCTTTAGGATTGTGTGAATGTTGCTTGGAGTGATGCAAAAGCAGGTGTTTCATGCAGCAGCACAGCACTCTTCAGCTGATTAACAGTGTTAACACTGTGAAATGCCCTTGTAAAGGCAAACTGCTGCACTTGAAACTAATGCTGTGAACAAGGAACTGTACCTGGGGAACCGACTGTCAGTGATCTGGGTTTAATCTGAAGTACCCAGAGCCTTAATGGTGCGTGAAAATCCTGAGGCTGAACTTGGTGCCCCACACTTACCTCCCTGTGGAAGTCACAGTGCCACTACCAGCACCTTTGGGTCATCCCTGCTCCTGCCACAGTCAGGTTCTGTCAGCCTGACCCCAGCCAGGCCCTCGGTGAAACACATCCCAGCCTGGGAGCCTGTCACAGATAACTCACAGAAAGTAAACACTGTGACATGCTCCCCAAAACCCTGCACCATCAGGAAAGATGATGCCAAAGGCAGGTAAAAAGGCTGACTTGTCCTTGGGATTTCTGTGGTGCTGTCAGCAGTGAGCCCGTGGCCAGCTGTTGGTGTGTGAGATCCAGGGCTGGCAGGTGTGCCCACAGTGGCTTTGGAGTGCCCAGGTACCTCACCTTAGACCTTGTTAGCAGTGCCAGTGCTCCCACTGGCCGTGTTGGATCAGGGAGCACAACCCATGCAGGATTCAGTTGTATTTTACTTCACCCACCCAGGGCCAGATAAGGCACAGCCCGAACGCTGTGGGCGTGTCGTGCCAGAGCTCTCACTGCCTGCAGTGACAACACTTACCCTGTTCAGCCTCTCATTTCCCTTCCTTTCAGAATATGCAGCAATAAACTCTATGCTGGACCAGATCAACTCCTGCTTGGATCACCTGGAGGAGAAGAACGATTATCTGCACACCTGCCTGAAGGAGCTGCTGGAGTCCAACCGCCAGGCCCGGCTGGAGTTCCAGCAGCAGAACGAGCAGCTGAACATGGGAGCTGATGGACAGGGCCCCCAGCCTTCTGCCTAGTGTGTGACCACAGACTCTCAGCTGGGGTTGCTGAGGGACTTTTACTGCTCACCAGTTTAATGTAAAACTTGAATAGAAGAGGTGCCTCGTGCCTGTTACTTGTTCCTTCCCGTGATTGTGTCCTGCCATTCACCTCCATGTTCTGTTTTCCTTTAGCTGTGAGAGGAGCAAAGCACGTGGGTGGCTGTAGAGCTGGTTCTTTCTACTCCCTGGCACTCACAGGTGGTTAAAGCTGGTTGCCATGCAGGTAGTTTGCAAGCAGGCCCTCTTCACAAAGAGAAGTGATCTTTGCTCTCTTGTGCTGTTAAATCCCCACAAGGAGTGTTATGGCTTTTGCCTCTTCCCTCAGGGAAAGCACAGTAGGCAGGGGCTGTCCTGACTCCAGGCTTGTCCCAAGTGTAACTCTGGTGACAGCCATGGGGAGGGAGACCCTAGGCCAGCTCCTGCCTTGAACCTACAACTTGTCCCTCAGTCACATTAACTCTGATGTACCAAATATTGGCACGTGGTCCCAAACCACTGGATGCTTCCATTCCCTGCCAAGCAGATAAGCCCACCTACCAGGGGGATGATTTTGCTGTTATAAGTGGGAGCTGCCCAGCTTCTCCAGCTGTTGTTCCAGACTCCAGTGTGGAGAGCAGCCTGGTTAGTCCCCACCACAGCAGCAGCTCCAGAGAGCAGAGACAGGGGCCTGCCTGCCCTGGGATGTGAGCAGAGCCCTCCCTGGACATTCTCACAAGGCATGAGTCATCTGTGATCTTGTCAGGATGGCCTGGGGCCAGCACTTTGAAGCAGTTGAAGCAAGTCTTACTGTTCTACTTCTGTAATGTTAAAGGAGTTGTTTTTGGAAAGTTAAAGAGGTTATTTATAAGAAATCTGTTTTATTAAAATCAGTTTGAAACAAAATTTGTTCCTGAGAGTCTCCACTACGAGAACAGACTAGATTAGGCCTTGTAGTACCTAGAAAGGACCAAGGTGCACATTCCTGCCTAGCTTAGGACGCAGTGCTTGTCCAAGAGTGTGTCTTTGAAAGGAAAGGGTGCTGAGAAACAAAACTGAACATAACAGCCTCCCAAGAGAGAAACTTCTCTGCCTGGAAAGGAAATGATAGGGACTACAAAGAATTCGTAAGTCTGTATCCATCTACTCCATGAACTTTTCCTCCTCTGGAAATCACATTACCATCTCCCTTCAGGTTCAACAGTCCAAGCCTCAGTCCTTCCACAGAATTAATTGCTGTATCCCAACTGTACGAGTAATAACCGACACCATCCTGTATTAGACACGCTAAAGCCAGGCTTATTTATTCTTAAAATAAAAACAGCAGTAAAGTTGAAGGTTTTGCTCTATTAAAAGACTCAGAAAATAAACATTTCCAGCAAATATCATATGTAAAGGGCTCTCCTTTAAGGCCACTCTATCTGGGTTTGCGCCTAGAAGAGCGTCTGCACCCAGAGGCGAGACCGGCTGTCTCACCTTTGGCGAGGGAGGAAGGCTCTGCCTCCTGGCCTGCATCTGCTGCCTCGTTCTGTCCCAACCCTCCTCCACTCCCTGGATCCTGGTGGTCAGCTGTGCCTTCCCTTTCCCTGGCTGTGTTGGCTTCCTCCTGGTGTCCCAGCAGCTCCCCTGTGGCGTGGCTCTCCCGGGAGAACGCGCGGGCGGCACTAGTGGCAGTGGACTTGCTCTCTTCCTGTAGATTTTCTTCTTCTACAACCACGACACCACACACGTGGTCAGTCACGCTGGCCAGGCTCTGGCCCTCTGCCCCAGAGGTGGCCAGCTCACCCTTACCCTCCAGAGACCTTGGAGTTTGTTCCTGCAGGGCTGACAGCTCCGTACCCTCCTTGTCTGTCCCACGATCGTCATTCACCTTCTCGCTGGTACGTGCTGTTGTAGCAAGAGGCTGTTTTGGATCATCCAGCAATTGGGAGCTGGAGCCCTGGGAATGCAAAGGAGCCTCGGGGTAGGCAGTTGTGGCACGATGCCTCGCTGCCTTGTATCTCTGCAAACACAAACAAACCACGGTGAGAGGGGAGGCCAGCTCAGCTCCTGTCACTGCAGCAAAGCAGCAGCTGCTCCAGGAACACCTGTACAAAAACAGTGGTGAGTGGCAGGGGCACGACCCGTCTCGGCAGCTCCTGGCCTGGCTGCTGAGGCTTTCAACACAGAAAGGTCAGCTCCTGTGAGGAAAAGTGGTGATATTAAAAACTGAAGTCCTTCTCACATTACTTAATGCTGAGCGAGTGCATGGCAGCCTGCGGCTCCCCAGACAAAAATCATGTTCTGGCAACTGTTAATCTCGGTCAGACTCAGGACTTTGTAGATGTAACAGTGCAAGTGACAGCTCCTGCTTCAGCTACTGCCAGGACACCTACCCTGGGCACGTGAGGCTCTGCACCACCCTCAGCTACAGGTGAGATTTAATGTTTATCAGCCAAAGCAAGACTTAAGTTAAAAGCTTAATATTTCTTCATTCTGTTGATACAATCTGCACAGTCAGTGGAACTGTTGACAAGAAGACTGAGATATCAAGAATATCTTGTTACAAGGCACTGAGGTTTTCCACAGAATAAAAGGTAACATCATCAGTAAAATTACTTATTTGCACTCACTATCATGATGAACCAGTAGAGGTCTGTAAAGAGATTAAAATGGCTACTAGCCATGTTCTAGACCAGATTTCAGGAAAACAGCAACTCTCTGTGGCTAACACACAGCAGGAACCTGGTCTTCAACACCCAGAGCTTGAGCTAAAGGAACAAACCAAAGCTCACCCTTTTCCACAGCCGTTCCCTCCACAATCCACTCCCTTTCAGGTGCCTCCTGAAGGGCTCCTTGAACTGGCACAGGCCATTACACCTGACAGTTCAAGGAAACAATTCTGAGCCCAGTGGCTTTCACCAGTCTGCAGTGTGGAATTATAGCCCATCAGACAGGCAGCTCTACACTGTAATTCAGGTTATCACTGCAGGCTTGTTCTTTCTCTGCCCTCAAATGGTGGGAAATGCACAATATCACATTGCACTGGAACTGGATCAGTTGGGTCAACGTTGTACCCAACCTAAAGCAGGTACAAGCACACAAATTCATGTTCAGTGATGCTGTGAACTGCCCCAACAGCAGACAATTCTTTGCTTTGAAACCCTCTGCTAAGCTACTCTACTGAGAATACCCCAATATACAACAACAGTGACAAAGATTTAACTCAGACTGCGACAACTCTGAGGCAACCCAGGTAGCCAAGAGTAATAGATATCTGGCTGCAGATATTTAAGGTTCAACTCTTCTCATAAAAAAATTCCTCCAGGTCACTCTGGCATCCATTTGAAGAGCATCTGATTTCAGCTCTAAGTGGGCCAAAAGAGTGACATAAGTGACTGCTGCTGCAGTTTCACTCGAAGCTGATCTAAATCAAGCCAGGAAAACTTCAAGGCTGATTCCTTCACTCCTGAAATGACTACTGCAGGAGTGGGAGAGGATGAGCAACCATGAAGGAACAGCTGTGGTCTCCTGCCATCCCAAATTCACTGCTCTAAGTGCTGGCTTCTGCAGCACCCCACCTCTTGCTGGAGGCAGTGAGGGCTGACTAAGAATAGTTTCTTCTATCTGAAGACCAGAAGAAAAACATGAAGTTTGGGGGGTTCAGGGATGGGTGTGTGTGTGTTTGGGGTTTTCTCAGACACTTTTAATAAAGCTTGTAGGGAAAACCAGCAGCTTTTGGGAGCAGTGTGGGTACAGGCAGAGGACAAAGGCGGTGTGGGAGCCTCTCTCCTTGCCAAGGTCAGCAAATACTGCTCTCCCACACAGGCAGGGCCCAGGCAGTGGTCACAGGAGAGGTCAGAGACTGTGCAAGCCCTGTGTACCCTCCACAAGGTACTAATCCAGGCCCCTCACCCCCTGGCAAGTCAACAAGGACAGAACGATGGAGGCAGATTCCAGGCCAGCCCAGTAGGAAAAGCTTTAGATACAAAAGCAGCAAGGGGCAATAGGGCTTCTTTAGGTGGAGCCAGAAAAGCAAAGGAACAGCATCAGTTGGCAGAGCTTTGTGCTAAGGAGTTTCTAGGAAAGGGTAGCAGACAGACAGACAGACTTCCTCTTGCAGGCTGACCCTGGGGACAAACGGACTCCCACAGCTTGTAGATTCCATCACATGGTCTGTAATGTTACATTTCCAGACTTGTAAGGCTGAGTATCTCATTTTACCAGGCCTCTTCATGGATGAATTACACCCACAGTTTTGGCTAAAGGAGCTGTTCCTGCAGGATCACAGGAGAAGATGCACCAGCTTTCTTTACAAGAACAGCCTCTGTCCCTTGTTCTTACCCACCTTGACCCATCTGTCTCTGGTCTAACAGAAGAGGCCTAGACTGAACAACAGACTCCACAGGTTCAGCAAACAGAGCAGACACTCTGAGGAAGATTCCCAGCCAGAAACGGGCAACAAGATGACAGCAGCAGTAGCTGGGAAGCAGGACTGGACTGGTTTAGGTCTACAGGGGTGATGGGAGACAAACACAGAGCACAGCAGGAGAGAACTATGGCACAGTGGACACCGAGGATGATGGGAATGAGCTGGAGACAGGACAGCTAACGGGGCGGATTCGCTGGAGAGACACGCACGGGGGGGAACAAATGCCAGGCCATGCAATCGCCAAAGGGTCTGACCTGAAAGTTCTCAAAATGCATCAGGGACTTGCAGTGTGCGAGCCGGGCAGCGGAGTCGCTATGGTAGAATTTGTGACACAGCCTGCAGAGGTAACCTGCGACGGGGACCAGAAAATCCAGGCCTGCGAAACGGGAGGGGAAGGGAAATCACAGATCACATTGAATGGAACTCAAATAATGAAAGCATGTTAAAAGGGGGAAGGGGAGTGGGGGGAGAAAAGGAAAAGTGGAAAGCTTTGCTTCTGTTAATCAGGGGATTTGCAAGATGACTTGCTGAATATCTCGTCTTACCATGGAATGGCTGGGGTTGATATTCAGAGAGAAATCTGGCTGCCAGAGCAAAGAAACTACACAGAGCGTTAAAGGGGGGAAAAAGGGAGAAAAGAATACAATGGAAAACTACAGAGAACATGTGATCCAATGTAATGGGATCAAACCAAGCAGAAGACAGCAGGCACGCAAGAGGAACACGCAGAGAACATTCACAGCATGAATCATTATTCCATCTGCCACACGATAGTGGAAGGTTACAGCGATATGGGAGATTGGTGTAAACAGAGCTCTCCTTGGGCACAAACCAGCCTCTGCAGAGCTGCCCTCCTCACAACACCGGTGAGGCTGGAGGTTTGAAGTCAGTCACTTACGGGGTGGGGACCAGACACAGCCATCTGGAGGCACCACTGCCCACCAGGGCAGCAGCACAGCTGAGGAACTGCTGGGTGCAGCGTGGGGTGTCTGAAGCACAGGAAACATGCGCAGTTTGGGCTCTAGCAGAGAGTTTGATACTGTCAGTGCTGCTCAGTATCTCTGTGCAAGCTGCATTTCTGTTGGAAAGCATTCCAATCAATATGCTTTCCGACTCCATCTTTCCAGAGCATCCCTCATTTGCTACCTACTTTCTTCAGTACTCCTGCCCTACTTGTTCCATGTCCTACCTTAGAAAAGTATCTGGCTCTCATCCTTTCTTCTTCAAAGCAAAAGGCAGCTGACAAACATCAATCACAGCCTTATGTTTTATCACACAATAATAAAGCAACGTTTGGTCTCTTCTCCAGGCAGCAGTGACCTGCACCACTCCAGTGCAGCTGCTGGAGCACCATGGCCCAAGAAGTCATTATATCAGTAGGTAGAGACCAGCCTCTCTTACAGAAATAGCATGTGGCCAGAGAAGGCTCTGTGGGCCTTTGTGCTTAACTCTGCTTGCTTACCATAGGCTGTGTCTGGACAATACTTCTCACTTCCTTCGTAATCCTCCAAAGACACTTCCTTCAGCCCAGTCTGGAAACCAAAAGAACATTAGTGCCTCCTGTATCTATGGCAATTCCCTCCCTGGGCTCTTGCGTTTTTCTGATAAGCTCAGGAGCAAAACCAGAGGATTAACATACCAGAGACAGAGCTGCACAGCATCTGGTCAGGGCCAGATGCGAACCCCAATGTCAGCAGGCCACTTCACTACAAGGGTTAAAAATTACCATTTGCACTCCAAGCCTGAAGTAGCTTAGCCACGTCCCTCCTTCTTGGTAACTGGGAAAATATTTATTGAGATAAACCTCCACACATGTTTGCTGTGAGCCCCAGGTGCTGCTGGGCCATTCAAAGAGACTATGCCAATGTCTGCTTGTGCTCCTCAACAACAAGGTAATGTTTGAAGACAGCAGCAGGAGCTGCACAGCACAGCAGAACCCCCTCCTGCATCCCACACATAGTGCCTGATTCTGTTTTGCATCATTCTGTGCTCTGGAAGAACCCCAGAGCCCTCACCTTCCTGCTGTAGAGTGCAAAGTCCACCAGACTCTTGAAAGCCTAAGCTCAACCAGCCAAGACCAACTAAGTCTCAAGAATCCCATAGCAGATTCCCAGAGAGGTCATTCTTTCTCCTTTTGCGTGGCTTACCTGCTTGGCAGCAGAATCCTCGTTCTCCATCGGCACTACATCAGGGTCTTCCTCCTCACCAGCTCCCCCCTCCTCCTCCTCCTCTTCCTCATCATCATCTTCAAAACAGCCAACAGCATCCACAGTGATCAACTCCTCTGAATCTTCTGGGCTGCCCAACTCCTTCTCTCCCAGCCTCACCTGTCAGGTACAGAAAAGAAAGACTGGATCGACTCAACCGTGGAAGAGCCCAAGCCCTGGACAGACTGCATTTGAGGAGCAGAAGGGACTGCAAGAGGGGCACAAAGCGATCTCCCTTCACGACACACCCAACTCCTCGTCCCTTTTTCCCTCAGTTGCTTTTAAGCTCTAACAACTGAAGTCCAGCAAAAGGTGAAAATTAAATCAGGGCTGGAAGAACTGCACATATTCCTTTCAGCCCTGCAATAGCGAGGGTAGCAGCCCCCAGACCTGCACAGCTCTCCACCCAGGCAGTGTTACCTCTTTGGCTTTCTGTTTGTGCTCAGGGGACTTCATGTGCTCCACGAACTTGCGAGGGGTCTTGAAGTGGCGGCTGCAGACAGTGCAGAAAGGACGAAGCGAGCGTTTGGCCAGCTGAGGAAAGAGGCACAGTTCCATGAGTCAAGAGGCACTGCTTGGGAGGAATGCAGGTGAATCTTGAGTGAAATGAAGTCAGCCCTGCATCTAAACCAGGGAGATCACAAAGACAATAGTGTTTTCAGCAGAAAGGACTCCCTAAGTCTTATCCACCAAAAAGATGGAAAGCACGCAGAGCAAAACTAAGCGTGTCTTACAATTCCTCCCCTAGAAGCCAATAAATATGCCAACATGCCTCAATCTTAGGTTGAAAAGGCTGCCCACTATTCAACCGATTAGGTGAGTATGATAAACCATATTTATTGACAAAAGTCAATTACACACTAGAGGTGCTTCAGGCCACACTGACACGTCATGACAACTAGAAGCTCCAGCAATGCCAGTGACCAGAGGTAGGAGGTAACACAGCAGTGCCTTTAGGCAGGATGTTACTGGCAGAACTTTATGTGCATCCCTAAGCTCCAATCACTTTTCCTTTGCTGCTGGGGAAGCAGGAGCTGCCAGACACTTCCACTCAATCCCCACAAAAGGTCAGTGCAGAGATGAAACCCGGGCTGTGGCTGTTACCTTGTGTTCCTGGGTCCTGCGATGTTTGATGAGATCCCCCGTGAAGTGCACCTGGCACGTGTTACACCAACGCTGCTGGCTCTCTCTGAAGTGACAACAGACAGAGCTCTAAGTCACATCTTTTCACATTCTCCACGGAATACTGCAGTTTGCAATCTGTCCTTGGCATTGTTCTCCCCACTGTTCCTGTCTTTATGGCCTCGGATTTACCTTCTCCCCTTCCCACCATTGCTTTAGCTTGTGCTGACAGAAATACACCAGATAAAACAAGTCTTCAATCTGATCTACTGTATTAAAAACTACACAGGTCAAAGTCACCTCTGGTATCCTTCAGCAGGATAGTTGCCTGAAGGAGTTAGCCCTGAAACCAGAGGGATTTCATACCTCACCTAGAACTCAGGGGCACCCTCGTGCAGTGAGGGATTTTAGAACCCATGTAGGGCCACGTTCAGATAGTTTTCTAGTGCAGATCAACACTTACCCATCTTTTTCTGCTAGCACCTTCTGCTGCTTCACCATGGGCAGTAGTGAAACAAAACAAACATTGCTCATGTGCTGAATCTCCCCAAGTCGCTGCTGGTGCTGAATCCCAGCCATGTGGGACTGGAAATTCTGAAAGAGAGGTGAGGAGAAAAATCCATTTAAATGTATTCAGTATACAGAAAATAATGGGTATGAGCTATTCTTTCCTTTCTTTTGACTGCTGTTTAACAATGAAATGGTATAAAAGCTTAAGAGCATGGCTGCCTGTGGATCCACCCACATTCTCTCTTCTAGCAGGATGCTTGCCAGCTCTCAGGAGAGGTTTATTTTATCTGCATGCTTGTCATCATTTTTTATGTTGCTTGTTCCTGAAGCATGAGCCCTTGCTAACAAGTCTCCCGCTGCACCTCCCCATGGCAGCCAGCCACCTCATTCCCATCTCCTGACCACCAGCATCCCTGTCAGACCTGTGCACTTTTACCTGCTGACTGCAGCAGTTGGTCTTGCAGATGTAACAGTAGAATTTAAGGACTGATTCGGGGTTGGGATCAGCTGTGCCCACCTCACAGGCCCAGTGCCCTGGTTTCAGAGCTGTTGTACTGATAGCTCTGCTCTCACTGCTCTGCTGAATGGTCACCTTCAGTGAACCTCCAGAGCTCAACACCTGCCAAAAGAAGGAGTCAAGATTAAGTCCAATCTCTCAGTAGAAGACACGAAAAGTTACACCTGCTTTTTGTACGTCACCTAAGCTCTCTACCCTTTAGGAAAATGCGTTTAAGCTTGAACCCACATGGTGCTGATCAGAATTACTCTCATAACACTCCTCCTCCCAAAGCTGTTAGATCAGTGATTGCTGTGTCACAGCACCAGGATTATTAGCACAGATGGATGTTTCTGCAGCCTCTGCAGTCACTGTTTGACCCAGTCTCTGGGGACTGGAGCTACAAACAATTCTTGGTAAGGGACATAATCAGCTCATGTTTCTCCACTGCAAAACTAAAGGTAACTCAGGACAAGACCTGATGGAGTCAGGAACTCAGGCATGGGCAGGATGATACATTTGATCACATCAACAAACATCCCTAATTATGGAAGTCTGATTCACATCTGAGGTTAAATCTTTTGTCTGCTCACAGGATAAGGTCCTGGTTTAACATCCAGCACGTGGGCCACGTACTTCACGCAGAAGACTCTCAGGTTGCATCTTTAACACCATCACCAGAATTTTTTTACACCTGCTCTTCAGCAACATGAAAGATGTATTCAGCCATGGCCCTCCACACATATATTTTTAAGTAACTCTTTCAACTTGCCATTTTTCCAGATGAATACTGAAATCTTAACATCCACATCCCCCCATCCACAGCCAGCAGCAGGTGAGGAATGGGCCAGCAGAGGTACAAAAGCAGCAAGTCAGAGCAGACTGCGCACTAATTGCAGACATATTATGCCTTATTGCCAGGGACAACAGCTTACAGCAGGAGACAGAGCTCCAGACGTGGGTGCCAGCTGGTTCCCAGTGGCAACGGGCTTCTCCAGGATGGAGGGGGAGGTTGTATGTTCTGCACCACCCCTGCATGGAGCGGTGTCTGCTCACCTCAGGAGCCTTCGGTTCCTCGCAGAATTTCCTCTCTCTAGAGGGATCTTCGGCTGTGTATTCCTTTGCACTGTCTGCACCTAAGAAGGGAGAGTCCTTTTAGCTGCCTTAAGTCAGAGTAGCAACAGTAGAAAAAACAAAGCAGCAGGTGAGTGAAGTCAGGGAGCTTTCCTCACAGTGCCGTTGGCCATCAGCCAGCTCACAAACCTTTCTCCAAAGAAATCCCTTCTTAGAGAGGGAAATTTCCCATCATTTGCATTTGGCAGGTAACATATTTTGAGGGGCTAGATTTGGATTTGGTTCCTAGATTTTATCCTCCTTTCCCCATCCTGTATGACCGGAGGAGGGACATTTCTGATGAGACCCATGGGATCTACAGAGGCAGTTCCAGCAAGGAGTGCCCTAAAAGTACAAAGGACAGGGTTCAGCAACTCACCATCAGCTTGCACGTGGGCGCTCGAGACTCCTGCTTTCCTGCTGTCTGTGGCATCCTCTAACGCAGAGTCCTCAGTCACACTTCAAGGATATCAAGAAAATAACCTTATTTGCCATGTTACAGACAAGAGATTCAGGAGGCACCACCAAGGCATGGGCTGGGTCTAAGCTACCACACTCTCCCCTAAGCCCCCAAATCAATAAGCTACTGGAAGTGGTATTTCAGGCAAGAACTTGGCAGAAATAAATAAATAAAACCAATGAAGAGTGGGTGTTCTAGAACAGATTCAGAAACAGCTGCCAAATAATCTGGACAAGAAGGTTACGACTGGTTTTTTTGGTTAACAGCCCTCTCCTGCAAGAAGCCTGCAAGGAAATAGGTTCATCCAAGAAATATTTTTAATGAGAGCTCTGAGAGCTCAGTCCTGTCATGACTGGTGACCTGGACCGTGCTCCTGGCTGCTCTGTGCACGAAGGAACGGAACTGAAGGAGTTCTCCGTGGTGCCTTACAGGGATTTCACCATAACTGCCTGCTCTAATCATACCACTCATGTTTCATTCCAGAGCCCCTACAGTTCTGCTTGTGGGGGAAGCAAAAACTGTACAAGATGCAAATCAAAAGGACCTTGCTTTGTTTCATTTGGTATTGGTGATCTGCTGAGGAGAGCAAAAGCTCCCGAGGGGACTGCTGACAACGGATGTTTGACTTCCAGAGGGCACAAAGTGTACTCTGCAGCCTCTTTCTCCTTCCCCCATTTTTCCAGGAGGACTAACACTTTTCACCGTGGCTTGACTATCTGCTCTGAGGGCGGCTCGAATTCCCACCTGCTGGTGTCCTTCTGCCAACAGGGAGCAGCACCTTCTGCACAAGCAAGAGGCAGGTACCGCATCCCGTTACCCAAACACCACCCCCCGCCCCCGCGTAAATTATCAGATTGATCCGTGCTAATGTAACTGGGTTACACGGCTATAAATACGCAGCAGGGTTTGGGCAGCGCAAACACGAATCCAACAGGAGTGGCTGGCATTAACATTATTTGTCAAGTGCTGCCAGCAGGCTCAACACTAACTGTACCACACACACAGATGGTGCCAGCACTCGGGGCGAGGGGTTTGCAGCCTGAACTGCAAATGCAAGGAGCGATCTAAGGGAGCAGAAGCCACCACGAGCACGATCGAAGGAGGGAATGGTGTTCTGTGGATACTTGTCACCCCATGCTAGAAGTGGGTGTGCAAGGAGGGCTGGAAGATGACTTGGAATGAGGATGTTGTTCCAGGTATACAGATGGTACAAAGGAGCAAAGGCAGAAGCGGGAAAAACCTGAAACGAAGAAGGAGGCTGGTATGCCTGGCTAAAGGGAAATGGAACAATGCAGCGTGAAACAAGTTGATGACACGGATGGGGAGAATGTCCTTGTCATCTGTGAAGGGCAGTATGAGAACAGTAAACTATTTTTTTTTAAGATATCCATCATCTTTCATTGGAAGTTAAAAGAAACACTTAAAAAAAAAAAAAAAAAAAGCTAAGGAATGATCTATTCTAGGTAAATACCAGCCATAATATATGCATCAAATCTGGCAGTCCCTAACTGCTGCTTAGGAAAGGATTTTCCTAATAGCAGGCTTGCTGCAGTGAGAGCTGTCATTCCTCACACTTGATTCTTTTTTTCAGTGCATGTAACAGGACTTTGATTAATACCCTGCTAAATATTAATGTAATTAAAATTAAATTAGCTTTGGCAAACAGATTAACAAAGCACACACTCAAATGTATTCGACCTAGCTTTAATTGAATTTATTCACTTTCTTGCTAATCAGAGTCCATAATTCACGGTGGTCCCTGCACACACAATATTTATCACTCTTTAATGTTTTACTTTGATGTTTGGATATTACATTGCTCATGCAATCCTGGAATATTCTCCCCAAAGCTATCCATTAATCTCTAATCTACAGATGGGAAACAGCAAGGTGAAGAAACTTGTCCAAGAGCAGGCGGTGAATCGCTAACAGGGAAGATAAGAGGACCCAGGAGTCCTGACTCATCGTCGTTAACATATGTTGGAGAATTCTCAAATCAATGCCTCCAGAAATCTGTATTCACTCCCTCCTCTTCTCCCTCCGCACCAGCTAAGGGTGACAGCTCTGGGAGAGGAGCAGCCCCGGTGCAGATGGCACATCCCACTAGATGGCAATGCAGCCCTGCCTGTCCCTCCTGCACCCTCGGGATGTGGGGAGTGCCGGGCCGGGCCTGCCATGGCCGGCGTGCCTGCCTGAGGCACATCCCTGCGGATAATAGGATTGCCTCGGGCTATTTTTACCCAGCAGACAGAGGTACTGGGAAGACAATCTTTGCAGAAGGGATACAGAACTCAGCACCCATGGAGACAGGCTTGGGTACTTGGGAGTATTGATTCCCTTTATCATCCCTCAAAATAAACTACCCTCTCCTACACTTACTGTAACCTAACATGTTCCAAAGCTTTCCCTCTCTGCTCATTTTGATTTTTGACATTTAGGGAAGAAAATTAAAGAAATATACCAGAATAGAAAAGAACATCTCTGCTTCTTACAAGGATCCTGGCAGGAGAACACACGAGCAAACTCTGCTTTGTTGCACATTTAGATGAGCTGCATCTCTGATTTTTCATTCCCAGAGCTGGGTCACCCCTTGCAGAGACCTGACAAGACTCAGCAAGCATCATGACATTTTCTGAATTGTTCATAAGCATCTGAAATACCTCTCATATGCTACACATCAGTCCAGTCCAGTCCAGCCCTAATTATCAGAAAATAAAATCAGACAATAATTCTAAGCTCAGGAACTATCTTAATACCCCATTCAATAAATACCTCTTCAGTCTTTTTGCTGCAGGCTCAGTGTTCAACACAGACTCTGTTGGAGTTCTTGGCTCTGCAGGAACACAGAAGGAAATGTCCTTAGCAAAGCAGACCATGCCACCTTGAGCACGTTCCATAACTCAATGGCAAATGCCATAAGGCTTGTTAGAGCAAATAATTCTCAACACTCGCTTATTCTGAATTTGAGAACTGCACTGACAAGGTTAGATAATGACCTCAGATGTTTTTAATTGCAATGGCACAGTGTGAGGTGTTGTCAAAACAAAAGAAATCTATGTTTATGTCCACTAAGTGGCTCTCAGTCCTGTATATAAGTGACAAGAGCCCTGATTATGGGAACATTAATACAAGCCAAGGTGGCACATCTACCTGACAGCAACCACTTAATCAGGTAGTTTTCACCCCTGCATATACACTGGTCACCACCTCATCATATGCCTGCAGTTTTAGATTGGGCACTCTCCAGTCAGAAATGACATTCCCACATCTGGGTTGTATCCGACATCTGAGACATTCAGTGCCAGCACTTTCTGTTCTGACAACTGGAGCACAAGGACTCTTTCAACTCATCTTTTCCTCAGCGTGCTCGTTGCAACTGGTTCTGCTTTATGTGTTTGGCTGCACGAGATGTTGAGTTCAACACGGGTAAGGCAATGAGCAAAAGCTCTAATTTCAAACCAGTTTTCTTTTTCATCCCCATCTTAAACGGGCTTTGCTGCCAAAATGACTTCTGAGAGACTTCCATGCAAGAGAGATGAAGCAGGCTCATAAAAAAATCAAAAATATCCAGGTAAGAGTGGTACATGAAGCACATAGCAGAGGGCTATCACAGGCAGTTTAAGTATTTACAATTAGAAAGAAACGTAGCTGACCAAGCCTAAAATCATCTCCAGCCTTTGCTGCAGGACTAGTCAAGAGAAGTTCATAGTATCTACAAGCACTTATTTTCTTATAGGCTCCTCCTTACCTGTGGATGGTGAGGAATTGTTCTGCTCTGACCCTGCTTGCATTCCCTCTGGGATTTCCATTTTCTCATCACCTTGTGTCTGAGACGAAGAACCAGGATCCAGTTCCCGCTTCCTGTCAGGGACCCTCTGGAAGTCCTGCAATGGACAGAGAGTCACTGCCAGCTCTTGGTCCTCAACACACCCTGCCCAAGGCACCAGAGCTTCCCTGTGGAGCAGGAACAGGAATACCAATACGTGGAAATGGAAAGGAATAGATGGTTTACAAAGACTGCCCTGCTCTAGGCAAGTTTACATGGTCAGACAGAGTGAATAACCTAAAATAATCTCTCTTTTTTTGACCCTGGAGAAAGGACAGTCCAAGAATGAAAGTGCACCTTATCCACCACATCTTTTTGACAGAAGGGGATGAAATATGCAAAAGCTAATCTAAGAGGAGGAAAGTAGCAGCTAATTAACCCAAGAACGATTTTCAGGATACAAAAGAGGTCTTAATGGTGGAAAGTGAAAAAGGTTTTTACAAAACAAAACAAAAAAATTGCAGATTTTACAAAATCCACAAGAACAAATATGAGCCTGATCTTAAAAAGAAGGAAAACAGCCCAAAGAGGCAGAATGCCCTTGGTAGGAGCAGGTCATTTGGGAACAACAAACTGCTTTAGAAGAGCAAAGCACTCAGCCAGGATTTCTTCTGTTGTAATCACTTTGAAGCTGGTACTTCTAAAGGCTCCTTTTATATCTCAGGTTTAAACAGTTCTGCTACGAGGAATTCTCTCTCTTGGGCAAGCGGTGACACGAACCCTTTGCATCATAAATGTAAATATGGACCACGAAAGCCTTCGGGATGGAATTATTTCTGCGTTCCTGTGTCAGCAGCACGGTGCAAAACATCATTTTCTTTGTAAGGCTCTCTCCCCTCTCCTTTGTACTCCGCCCACAACAATGTCAACAGCTCGAGTACAAAAGGAGCACGGATCTCTCCAGCGGTTGGAAACCTCAAGCCCACCTTGCGGAAGGTCCGGTTCTGCCGCTGGAAGGGAAGGCTGGGGAAGCCCAGGCGGGTTGGCTTTAAGGAGACCCCAACAGGTGGTGGTCCCAGGAGGGAATGTCTGGTAGCCTGAGGGAAGAACTGCTGCAGTGCTGGCGCTGTCATGTTAAATCCACGCAGGTTTCCTACGGAGGCAAACACAGAGCGTGTCACCACCCTGAGCTGGGCAAAGGGAAAATATTCCACCTGTACAGGCAGCAGGCAGAGAGGGAAAGGGCTCCTCTGCCCTGTATGGGTGCTCTATGCTCTACCCTTTTCAGCACACACAATGATTTGATGTGATAGCAACCATTACTATGGATCAGGCTATTTAATTATAATTGTCACTGCAGGCTAAGATCATTACAGCAATTATCTGATCTGAGCACGCTAACACTTGCAACAAACAAGGGCTCATTTGGCAAAAACTCTCTGTAAAAAAAAAAGGAAAATTCACCCCCCATTTCTGCAGCTGACAGCTCACACTGTAGCAGGGATGCTGTTTAGCAGAAGCAAGGAACGGTGTTTCATTTAAAACAACACTGGACTTCTCAAATGAAAGATCCCACAGCCCTCCCTGCCACCTGGCTGTCATGCACGCTCAACGTGTCAACCTCGCCTCTGACACCCGAGACTCTGCCATTTCCAATTATAATGCTCTGCTTTCTGAACAGCTCTTTTCAGCATCCACAGGCTATTAACTAAGTCTCAACAATTTCTTACAAAGACAGTCCTTGCCATCCCCATTTCAGGAGTGAGGGAGTGGAAAGGCCCAGATGCCTCAGCTACACCCTCAGGAGCTGTCCATCATTGTGGGAACCCGGACTTCAATTGCTGGTTTTTCTCTCTCACTTGAATTAGTGAATACTCCAGCTTTTTAGCAGCTCTCGAAAAGGGGAAGCAAAGTCTGGAGACAGGCACCCAAAAAAACCCCAAGCTTTTTCTTAAAACCCTGCAACACAATAGGAAGCAGTCCCCATGTTTGTCTCTGAAAGTAATCTAATCTATTATTACTTCCCATAAATAATCCCTTACTGTGAAAGGACATAGCTATATTAAAAAAAAAAAAATCTATAAGCCAAGAAATCATCTTCTGCTCTCGCTTTGGTACCTTTAAAGAACCACATATCCATTTCAACTTGAAGTATTTATCTTTTCCTATTCCCACTGCTGAAGCCACACGCAGCCACTGAATTATTTATGCTGATGTTTCCCAGGGACAGAAATGCTACAGCATCAGATATTCTTACATGTAACCAAAACCTGAATGACCAAAAATATTCAGATCCCTAAGAAGGGCCACATTAAGACATTGGCAACCATACTGCATGTTACCTGTGGCTACCTGGTGTAGGTCAGTGAAAGAGAAGTCATTTCAACTCTGGCATGCAGAGGTGAAAAGAAAAGGAGACAAGCACTAAGACAAAGCGCACTTAGAAGTGTTCATTAACATACCTTATCCTGCTCTATCTAATTAGCCTCAGGTTCTCAGCACACTATTTAAATACAATTTCTCAAGAAAAGGTTTTGCTTCATGGAAAAGGCCAGCCCATGTTGATATCAAACATATCTGCAAGGAGTGAGGCTGACTGGAGTCAGACTTTCCCCAACCAACAATAGATACACTCCAATCTTCAGCGTGTGGCTTGTCCTTTCTCACTTCACTTTCCCTACAACCTGAGAGAGATCTGTGGAGAGCCACTGGAGTCACTAGAGAGCCCTCTCTTTAAATGGGCAAGAGAGAACAAAAGGAGAGTTAGCGACATGCAGAATAAATCTTTTGTCTTCACATCTGGGCATGATTCACAGGCAAGATAGAAATTGCAGGCATTAATCTAGACCAGGCACCTGAAAACTGTCCCAGGTACTGATTTGCTGCACTGAAAAGAGCTGACAGGTTAAGACATGAGCAAAAAATAATAACATAGCTTTATTCCTATTATTTTTACATTAGCAATGCTATTATAAAGGCACCTTCATAGATGTGTTTTGAAAAAACATATGGCAAAAACCAAAGAAAAATCCACTTGTGGAAACACAGTGATGGGAGAATAGTGATATTATTCACCAGAGAAATGACAGTCGTTTCAGTGAATCAAAATTTCACAAGACAATTGAAGCCCAAACTGTTTTTCAACACAATATATTTTATTTGTTTGTACTCCACCAAGTTTGGACCAAGACAACTATCTACTGCAAACAAGGTTAGTGCACATGGAAAAGATAATGAAATAAACTGCTTTAACCTTCTAACCAAGAAAGACAAACAAATAATAAAAACTTCAGCGTTTTATCTAAATATATTGATGACAAAATACTTGCTCCATCACGTCTTAAGAGGGAAGGTACGTGTTTAGTATCTAACCTGATACCTTCTAATGCTATTCCCAGCTGCAAATAGTTTGGCCACTGAAGAACCTCCGTGATGTGGACTAGGGACAAATTTAAAGGTGGGGGAAAAAGGCAACAAACGGAACTGCCAAGTGCAAGAAGTGCCCTGGTTCAGCAGGAAATAGCCCTGCTGTGGTCTGAGTCCACGAGGATGATTAAATAACTCCAGTAAGCGTTTCCCATAACGACAGTACCTTGCATCTGCTGCATGAGTAAGGCCCGCTGAAGCATAGGATTGGCATTGAGCAGCGAGGGCTGATTTGTTGCCCGTAAGCTCAGCATCTGTTGCTGTTGCGGCGGCGGCAAACCCCTGGAAAAGAAGGCATAAATCGTGAGAGCCCAATAAAAACTGCCCCCTCTGATTCCAGGCACCAAACAACCATAAAAGAGAGGAGGAAACAGCTGAAATGCCGATATATGTGCGTGAAGAGACGCTGTGCAGCAGCACTGTATCCTCTTTCTTCCACTCTCCTGGAATTTCCAAGCTGACAGATTGTCTATCAAAGAATTTTAGGTCAGGGACAACTCCTTAGCACCAAGCCCACATGAAGCCTCCAAAGCAGCATAAAAAAAGCCCAGGAGCTGACTGCAGTTCTACAGAATTATGCAGCACTCGTCAGGAGAAATGAGTGATCTAGATCAGCAGCTACATTTAACAGGACAACAAAAAAGAAGCCCTAAAAAACAGGGAGTTTTCTCAGTAGCTTAAAGCACATTTTCCCAAAATCAACACCTCCCACACGGAGCCAGACAGGTCAGAACTGTCAATGGTGCCCCCTAACTGCAAGAACCAGATGGAAAAATAAAGCAAGGCCTTCATATTTAAAACACGAGGAGGAAGAAGCGAGCGGAGAAGAACTCTCCGGTTCTAAGGAGGGTGGAGCAGACGTGAGAGAAAAGTCTGAAGAAACTGGCAGGCACTTATTTAAGCGATTGCAAGGTCAGGCCCACCTCTAAGCACGACTGCTGACACAGCTAAATCTGTCAGGGCTGAAAAGAGGCACAAACACGATCGAAATATCCACCCTGACAAAAAAACCCCAACCCTCTTCAAAGAATTCACAGCAGCTCATCTTCACATTTGCTGCTCTAGATTGTTCCAGTCTCGGAGCTGAGATATTTATACCACAAAAATCGTACTTTTAAAGGTGCAAGATGCAGCCGTGCTCTCTAGCAGTCGGCCCCTTACTGGCATTTTAAGAGCAGCTTTGTTTATTGTATAAGACATATGAAAATGGTAAAAAGATTTGGAGGTTCATATTTCTGGTAAAACAGAAAAATTCCCACATTGACCTCAGAGACAAATGCCTTATAAGGATAAAGTAATATAATAATTTCTTAAATAACAAATTAACTATATTATTAAATTCACACCCCATTGCTTTAAATTTGCAGAGCACAAGGCTTTAAAGGTAACAGTAAGTGCAAATAAATGTGTTATTTCAGAGAATTTGTGTTGGTTCTACAGATCTCAGCTCATCAGGGACATCTGCTCCTCTCTGAGTTGTTTTACATTTTGCCTTTTTTTTTTTTTTCTGGAGAACCGTGGTTATTTTCTGGCAGATGTCATTTCTCTTCACAAACAAAACACGATTTTCTCCATCCCCTCCCTGCCCCACCGCGCTCAGCCACAGCCTCAGCGCCGGTGCCACTGCAGAAATAAGTTCCATCACCTCACCCAGGCCAGCACAGAACGAAAACAAATAAACAGCTTAAGTTCAACAATAAAATAATAAAGTGCTCGCGTCTACCGAGGGTGGCTCTGCCGGGTTTCTGCAGGAGAAGGCGTTTTCCCCGAGCCCCGGCTGCCCTGCCCTGCCCGCCCCGAGGGGCGACGCTCGGCCCGGAGCATCCACCCACCCACCCACCCACCCAGCGGCTCTGCCCGGGTCACCCCGCGGGTCTCGGGGACTCCTCGGCGGGGCCGCCCCGGACAGCGGGCAGGGATCCCCGGAGCGCTGAGGGGACACGGCGGGACCCCACACGGGCCGCCGCCCGCCCTCCCTCCCTCCATCGCTCCCACACCGCGACCCCTCGCTGCCTCCAGCCCCTCGGCTCTGCCCCGGTCAGGCCCGCTCCCCGCCCGCCTCCCTTTGTCGCCTTCCCCGCCGGGGGAGGGCAGCCCCGCACCCGCCCCGCCGAGGCAGGGAGGCGGAGGAGAGCGGTCCCCCGGGACAGGCCGCGGATCCCCGGCCTCGCGTAGCGGCGCTTACCGGCCTCCCTGCTGCGCCGGGGGGTGGTGGTGCTGCTGCTGCTGGAGGAGGTGCTGGAGCTGCAGCAGCTGCTGCTGGAACTGCTGCTGGTTGAACATGTCTGGGGAGCCCCGAGCGGGGCGAGCCTGAGACAAAACACGGGAGGGCGAGGGAGGCACCGGCTGCGGGGCTGGCGCGTATCAGCCCAGCAGCCATTGAGCAGGGGAGCCGCCGCCGCCGCTGCCGCCCATTCATTCACTGAGCCGAGCCCCCCCTGCCGCCTCCTCCTCCTTCCCCCCGGGGTCATCGCAAGCGGCAGCCTGTGGAGGAGGTTTCCAAACCCCACCTCCCAAAACCTGCTCCCACCCTCCCCTGCCCGCGGCGCCCGCTCCCCGCGGCGGGGCCGTGCCGGGACCCGCAGCCCGTTCCCTTCGCCTCCCCGCCCCGCACTCACGGCGCAGCCCGCGGCGATCAGCGCTCCCCGCCCGCCGCCTCCATCTTCCCGCCGGGAACGAGAAGCACCTGCCCGGCCCCGCTCCCCGGCCCAGCCCAGGCGGGAGGCAGCGCCTTCGGCAGGGCTGCAGGACCCGGCCGCCCCCGAGGGGCTGGGGATCGCCCCCGGAGCCCCCGCAGCCCCCGCTCAGGTGGCCCCTGCCCGCAGCACCTCCATTCCTCATTCCCCGCACAGGGGCGGGAGTGAGGTCCTCTGTCCCTCGGGAGGGCTGGGAGGGGATGGACACCATCTGCCCGGGGCTGGGCAGGGAGTGGAATAAACGGCTGCAGGGGGGGAGCAGATGGCATCCAACAGCGTGGGCTTTCTCCTCTTTGTGCTTTTTAAAATAGTCCAGGGGAATCTTTGGTAATCATCTCGCCAAGGAGATGGAAAAAACCTAACGCAGCCTCTGGCCATTCGCTGTGGTCACGTCTTGGCAAACCTGCCATGAGAACCTGGAAGAAAACAAACGGGGACTTACTTTTGCAGTATTGGTTTGTGCTGGAGGCTGAGATGACTTTTGTAACCGGTCTTTTGTTTTTTTTTTTGGGGGGGGTGGGAGGGTGTTGCAGCAAAATCTTTCCTGCAGCACCTGTTTTCCATAAGAAAATGAATTTTAAGGATGTTCAGTACACACAGCCTCTGTGTGTATGTATGTATGAAAATGTACTGTGACTGTCATTTCTTCTTATACTAAACCCACAAGGGTAAAGATGTGTTTCTGCTCTCTGCTATTCCAGAGAATCCATCCTGAAATAATTTACTTTATAGTCTAATTATTCATGCCAATAAAGACTACTTGATTCATGAAAGGCCTTGGAATTGATTTTTAGCTGAAAGCATTGTAAGCTGAACACAGACAGTTACTGGTGATATACAGTTAGCATTAATAATTTTCAGTGCAGCAGCATATGTTGATTTTTCCTTTGGGCCTTTTTATACCATCCTGATTTTACAATAATCAATTTGGAGATGACCATCCATATTAATCAATGACGGGCCCTGTTCGTGCCCAGAGTCCTTTACCAGGTCACAGCTGTCTGCACACAGAGAGAAAATGCTCTCCTGTTAAGCATGAAAGCCTAAATGTCATCCCAGGGAACACACACACGGAGCAGAAAACATGCATGGAGTCTCTTTCAAATCATTTTGCATAGTTGATCCTCTGCCCCTGTAATGGTGCTGTTAGAGCAGCCACCGGCCTGGCTGCTTTGTAGCAGTGGGGGAGAGGGTTAATCCTATGATCCCTGTCCATATAACATGAGCCAGACCTGGGAAAGACAGAATTCTCACATAGATAAATGTTAATCTGCAATTGGTGTCTTATGTTTTTAATTCTACAACTGAAGTTCTTGTGTTCTATATATGTGTGACATTTGGAAATCTACAAAGCATCACATTAATGAAACATGCAGGTAATTAAGTGTGTGGGTTTTTTACCATTAGATGTTATGTTCTGACATAGTCTAGAGGCTCCCCTCACAGTCTGGGCTTTCCTGCATACAAATCATTAAATAAACAACCTTTTTCAATTTATGAACAATGCAGAGATCTACTGCACTGAACACAAATCTGGACATGAATTTAGTTCTGTGCCTGCACAACCCAAGTCAGGATTAAGGCTGTGGGAAGCACAGATGTCCTGTCTCATCAACCTACAACCCAAAGATTGATCTTCAGAGATGCCTTTATGTGCCAGACATGAACATCACACCTACCAGAATCCAGGAGAGAAGGTTCCAGATTCAGCTAATCACACTGTTCAGTTTGAAAGTCACAGAGATGTAGGATAACTGCAGAAAATCTGGTTAGGATCCCTTCTTTCACTACAAGCAGCAAACCAGCATGTCATGAGTTGACAGCCAAAGGGTACTTACTGTCAGTGCCCACTGAGCATGAGTACACACACCTTGACCTCCCATCTCCCTTTTGGTTTTTTTGCCTTCATGAAACATCTCCCTTTCAATTATTAAGCAACTCACTGTGCAGTGGTAAATACAGGTCATAATATGAGAATACACAGAACCTTAAAAACACAGAGCCACAGTGCAGACCAGACACTATCACTCAGTAACAACCCCGCTATCCTTGAGGCTTGGGGGTGGCTACACAAACACTGTGCCTTATTGACTGTGGGAATGAATGAAACAGGAGAAGAATTGGAAGTTCAAGGTTAGAGGATGATCCAGGAAGTGTCCTGCAATACAGAGACTCATCAGCGGAGCTGTAGATCATAACTACAAGGCAACCCGCACTACACCTCTGTCTGATTGGATCAGGGTTATGAAATGCCTTGGCAGATAAGAGGACAGACCACATGAATGCTTTTAATTCAGGAGCTGGGTTGTATTATATAGCCAAGTTTTTGCTGGGCCGTATAAATTTGTTCCAGGACCAGATGAGGCATGCAGATAACCAGAGACTTCTAATTTCCAGCACATGACTGCGCTGTGCAGTTGGGTGTTTTAATGTTGGCTTTTGCAACCCTTGGTGAAGCCACGTTGCTTTTGAAAATCCAAGTGTTTCTCAGTGCCTCTGACAGCACCAACATACTGCAGTGCCCACAATTTCCTCTGCAATCTGCAAGGATGGAGTTATTACTCATCCATTTCACCAGGATATAACTACTTCTCACCATAATATATTTAAGCCTCCCAAACTTCTCAAAAAAAAAGCATAAAAAAAAAAAAAAGCTTTAAAGTACTTTTTTTTTCTCCGGGTTCTGGGGCCTGTCTATTTAAAGAGTAGGCCAAGTTTCACCAGAGTTGCTCCCAACAGCTGATATTAGTTACTGGAATCACTGTCTGTTTTATCTGGAGGTAGGCTGGATTCACACACAACATTTCAAACCAAAATGATCTGTGCACTAAGGGATGTTTGCACCCACTCTTTGTAGTGTTGTTCTAGAAACCTGTCCCTGGTATTTCTTGATAGGCAGGACAGGCCACAGGAGATGAAGATACAGCTTTTTATATCCATTTTTGCCACATGGTCAATCAGCTTCTATCAGGGATTTTTCAGTTTCACAAGGTAAAATATCTGCCAGGAGCTATTTTGTGGCATCTTACTGGATGTGGAAAGCACAGAGAACTCAGCCTTGCTGCTCTTAAAATATTAATTTCAACTCACATCCATTTTCAGATCCCATTTCTAATGGACTATAACATTCAGCTCGTTTCTTTCCTTGTGTATATTCTGGCTCCTGTGGAGTCACACTAATGATAAAACTGTCCCAGTGTCTCATACAGTGATTTTGCCTTTTTTCACCTCTTTTTGGGGGATTTACAGACTAGTTCAGCAAATTTCCTGTTTCAGAACAGAAGAAAGCATTTTACTATGCTATTCTACAAAGGAAAGCTTTGAAAATCAAAAATTACAGGCTGCTTTTCTTTCAAATAGCTTTTGCAATAAATAAAAACATTAGAAATTAACGTCTCCTCTCTGAGCAACCGATACCATGAGATCAATGATGTTACTAGGGTACAATTGCTGGTATAGGAGCAATTAAGAAATTATAAAATCCATACTTAAATGGTTTCTACCTCTATAGGCAACTTTACATAGTCATGGAAATTCAAGTGGCTAATTTTAATTAAGATTTTTAAGTTTTGATCAGCTGTATCATGTATTTGATATTAATACAGACAATGTCAATCCTTAAACCTGAGTCTGTGTGGAGCTTCCAACCTCGCCTTGTAAACATTCCATTTAAATTCTTACCTGTGTTTATAAACATTTTTTAGGAACCCAAAGGGCCAGAAGTGTCCACTCCTGCACGTTGTTCTGAACATTCACAGCTCTACCTGGAGTCAACAGGAACAGTTTGCAGGTAAGTTAAAGAATCATAAGATAATTGTATTCCATGTTTCTGCCTATTTTTTTTTCTCTGAGAACTAAATGTGTTATTTTTGCAAGGGCAAGGAATGAAGGACAGAATCCAGCACTCAACTGTCTATTTCCAATTGTGCTAACTAAACTGGGAGTTCTATTTGCATGAGGTGACAAAATCAGCATACACAACTGTCCTTATGTTGATAGCCATACATAGAAACACACATATGCTTGCCCACATGCATTTTTAAAGTACATTCAGAAATAATTATAGCACCTTGGGTAGGGGAAGAATCTTTCATCCTCCTTGTTTTTATTTGCTCATATCATCAGTCTTTCTACCAAGGTAGAAAGAAATAGATTTTTTCCTATTCATTCCAGTTCATAAAATTCCTTTTAATTCCACAGACACTGCAGTTTTCCAGTATGTCCCATGAGGAACGATCACATAGTTGTTTTTCCTCTTCTATCTGCTGCATAAGTCAGAGGTAGGAGGTATCACAGAATCAAAAGGCACATTTACTGCTAACATCCTTGCAACTCAGTTTGTGGCAGGAGAGAAAATGGAAGGCTCTGGGAGTGATTCCGAGTGCCTGCAGTTCGCTTTTTCATCAGCGGGAGGTGCAGGTTTCTAAAGCTTCAGACAATCCAAACCTCGCTATCTCAACAGTCGCGTTCAGCGTCTGGGCTGAGCTACTGCAATTGCTGCAGAAGCGTTCAGGCTTCCCGGGATTAATGAGCTGTTGGGGGGTGACGCTGCAGTCAGACACTGATCTCATTTGCTTACAAACATCTCCGCAGGGCAGGGAAACAGAAGCACATTCTGGGCATCTTCCAGTTTCACGCTAATATCGATCATGTAAAATTTGCAAATGTTTCTGCATGTTTTTTTTTTTTTTTTTTTGGCTACCTAGAGAGCATCCTGTTACCTCCCCCCCATCCCTCCTGTCCAGTTTTGCCCTTTAAGATCACAGTCAGTTAGACCAAGGACCCCCTTCTGTCCCCTCAAGGACCACATTTCCCAAGAACTAAGTATGAATGTCACAGAAAAGTAAAACCAGATAACATAGAAAGAAATACCTGCAAAGGAGTCATTCATGAGCCTTAGTGCTGAACTGTTCAGCCTTAACTGGCAATATAAACCCTATTTTTCCCCCTCACTCTTCAGTAACAGCTGTTGACATATTGTATTTTCAGTGATCTTTCACAAACACTTTTCAAAGCAAAATATTAGTTTGATTTT